CCGTTTTGAAAAATAACTTTTAGTTTTTGAGAAAACAATATTTGAAGTTTTGATAAAATTTTCGATGTTGCAATTTTCATCGATAATTTTCAAAATTCGCTATAAAATTATTTTCTTGAAAAATCCTTGTGGAAATATCACCAAATATTAATTAAAGTATCCTCTTTTGAATGCAAAAAGCCGTTTTGAAAAATCACTTTTAGTTCTTGAGATATAAATTTTTGAAATAATCGACAATTTTTTCGAATTTTACAATTTTCTCCAATTAAGTTTTAAAAATTCGTATAAAATCCATTTCTTCGAATATGAGTATGAAAATTTCCCAAAGTGTTAATAAAAGTGTCCTCTTTCCAATGAACCAACCCGTTTTGAAAAATAACATTTAGTTTTTGAGAAAACAATATTTGAAGTTTTGATAAAATTTTAAAATTTCTTTAGAGTGGATTAAATAAGTTAAGGTAGTGTTGTTGTTCTTACGGCTTATAAGATACAGTGTGTTAATTAATTATCGTACCCGACGTCATCATTGCAAATATGCAACCAAATACGCAAATCGCGTATTGCAATACGCATACTGTGATATTGGTTGCATACTCGGGTACGATAAATAATTAACACACTGTAGGTGAGGTAGGAACCAACATGTTAAGTCGTGGTCTATTTATATAAGATTAGATGGGCTAACGCTTCATTTTTCGGGGATTACCCAAAATTTTTTTACATAATAAACATCCACAATTAAAATTGACCAATTATTATTGTTTGGAAGATGTAATACAGCTAAAAAGTAAAGTAAAATAATGCCATAAATCTTTTTTCTAGGTAATTGGTGTGATATCAGTATTCTTCATATGCGTATCAATATTATCGTTTTGTCTGAAAACCCATCCGGACATGAAAGTACCGGTAATAAAAAAGGTGGTCGTCCACACAGCAGCGAATGGCACGGATTTCACCGTCGACAAAACGGAAACGGATGCGCACGTGGCCTTCTTCTACATCGAGTGTATCTGTAACGCTTGGTTCACCTTTGAAATTTTGGTACGATTCATCGCATCGCCCAACAAATGCGAATTCATCAATTCGTCGGTGAACGTGATCGATTACATCGCCACGGCGAGTTTCTACATCGACCTGGTGCTCCGAAAGTTCGCGTCCCACCTCGAAAACGCCGATATCATGGAGTTCTTCTCCATCATTCGAATAATGCGTCTGTTCAAGTTGACGCGACACTCTTCCGGATTAAAGATTTTGATTCAAACTTTTAGGGCTTCGGCGAAGGAACTGACGCTGTTGGTGTTCTTTTTAGTTTTGGGTATTGTGATTTTCGCGAGTTTGGTGTATTACGCTGAGCGGATTCAAATCAATCCGCACAATGATTTTAAAAGTATTCCTTTAGGGTTGTGGTGGGCTTTGGTCACGATGACCACGGTGGGTTATGGGGATATGGTACCGAAAACTTATGTGGGTATGTTTGTCGGTGCTTTGTGTGCTCTTGCTGGTGTACTTACTATTGCTCTACCTGTGCCTGTTATTGTATCCAATTTTGCCATGTATTACAGTCATACGCAGGTAAGTTAACAAAATGTACAACTTGGCAAATCTATCTTGGCAGGAGGAGATTTTATCTCAAAAAGTAATTGAGATATCATCATGAAATAAAGATCATTTTAAAGCAAAATTGTTGAAGATTCAATGTGCCAGAAATAATTTTTCTGCCAAGTCTGTTTCGTCCCTTTCGAATCTCTTCTCAGTACTTTAGTCTATTACTAGTCATTTTGTGCTCTTTCTTTTTTGCTCAGTATGTTTCTTTCCATTACTAACATCTTTCTGCACAGACTTTTTTCTCCTCTTTTCAGTCTCTGCTCAAATATTTTTCTTCTGCATTTTGTCCAGTTCTTCTCTTTTCTGCTTGTATTCAATCTTTTTCTTCAATATCAAGTCCCTACACAGTTTTCCCCTTCTTTACCTACCGTTTTTCTTGTTTTTGCAATCTCTTTCTTGCCTCCTTCACCTCTTCCTAAATCCTCTTCGATTACCAGTGTTTTTCCATCACTCTCTTTTCACTCTCAATAATCTCGCCAAGTTTGTTTCATCTCTTTCCAGTATCTATTTAGTCTCTTCCTAGTTTTTTCTTGCCTTTACAGCCTGCTTTCTATCTCGTGTCCAAATTTCTTTTCTCTTTAAAGTCTTAGATTAGCCATATTTTTTAGTTATAGCTGACTTTGGAAAAATTTTATTTGTAGCCCAAAACGTAGTATTCTTGATACCATTACGGTTGGTACATGGTTCAAAAAAATTGGAATATAAATAACAGAGTTACAGTTTGGGGCATTTTTATCTAACACCCTAAAGTAGCTATGAAAATTAAACTGTCGTATCTCAAGAACGAATGGAGATATCGTCATGAAATAAAGATCATTTTAAAGCATAATTAATGAAAATTCAATATGCCATAAATAATTTTTTATTTTCAATAAACATCGTTGCTATGATTTTTTAAATCAAATTCTGCATGTTTGAATGTTGCAGATATGAAACATAAATTTTAAAAGATCGTATCTCAAGAACGGATTGAGATATCATCATGAAACAAAGAAGATTTTAAAGCAAATTTGATGAAGATTTATTGCACCTTAAATAATTTCTTATTTTCCATAAACATCGTTGTTATGATTTTTTAAATCAAACTGCATGTTTGAATGTTACAGATATGAAACAGAAACTTTAAAAGATAGTATCTCAAGAACGAATTGAGATATCATCATGAAACAAAGAAGATTTTAAAGCAAATTTGATGAAGATTTAATACACCATAAATAATTTCTTATTTTCCAAAAACATCGTTGTTATGATTTTTTAAATCAAACTCTGCATTTTTGAATGTTATACTTATGAAACACAAATTTTAAAAAATCGTATCTCAAGAACGAATTGAGATATCATCATGAAACAAAGAAGATTTTAAAGCAAATTTGATGAAGATTTAATACGCCATAAATAATTTCTTATTTTCCATAAACATGGTTGTTATGATTTTTTAAATCAAACTTTGCATGTTTGAATGCTATATGTAGATGCGAAACATAAATTTTAAAAGATCGTATCTCAAAAACGAATTGAGATATCATCACGAAACAAAGAAGATTTTAAAGCAAATTTGATGAAGATTTAATACGCCATAAATAATTTCTTATTTTCCATAAACATCATTGTTATGATTTTTTAAATCAAACTCTGCATGTTTGAATGCTATATATAGATATGAAATATAAATTTTAAAAGATCGTATCTCAAGAACGAAGTGAGATATCATCATGAAACAAAGAAGATTTTAAAGCAAATTTGATGAAGATTTAATGAGCCATAAATAATTTCTTATTATCCATAAACATGGTTGTTATGATTTTTTAAATCAAACTCTGCATGTTTGAATGCTATACGTTGATATGAAACATCAATTTTAAAAGATCGTATCTCAAGAACGAATTGAGATATCATCATGAATTAAAGAAGATTTTAAAAGAAATTTGATGAAGATTCAATGTGCCATAAATATTTTTTTTTTTAATAAACATCTTCGTAGCAATTTGAAAACCAAAACTTCTTCATCCTCTCTACCCAGATTATTTCTTCTATTACTAGACTGTTATTTCAATAATAAATACTAGTCATTTTGCGTTCTTTCTTTTTGCGCAGTATCTTTCTATCCATTACTAATCCCTTTTCAGATTTCTTCTTTTCTGGACACTTTTCCACTCAGCCTTATTCTTCAATTTCCAGTTTTTACAGTCTATCTGGTCTCTGCCTAGCATTTTTCTTATAGTCATTCTTTCAAGTATCTTTCTTCTATTTGGAGTTTTTGCCCAGTGACATTCTTTTATTACCAGGCTATTTCTGGCCATTCCCCTTTCTGCACAGACTTTTTTCTCTTCTTTTCAGTCTCTGCTCACACATTTTTCTTCTGTATTTTTTCCTCTGTTCAGTTCTTCTCTTTTCTACCTGTATTCAATCTTTTTCTTCAATATCAAGTTCCTACATAGTCTTCCTCTTCTTCACCTAGCGTTTTTCTTGCTTTTGGAGTCTCTTTCTTGCCTCCTTCACCTCTCTACAATTCCTCTTCGATTACCAGTGTTCTTTTAGTCTGTGTCTTTGCCTTCCAGTCTCTATTCATTCTCATTAAATTCTATCTAACCTAAGTTTTTTTCGTTCCACTCTCTTTTCATTCTCAATAATCTCTGCCCAGTTTGTTTCATCTCTTTCCAGTATCTATTTAGTCTCTTTTCATCTTTCGCGTCTCTTCCCTCCTTCTTCTCTCCTTTACAGCATGTTTTCTCTGTATCTTGGCAGGAAGAGATTGTATCTAAAAAAGTAATTGAGATATCACCATGAAATAAAAATCATTTTAAAGCATAATTGCAGAAGATTCAATGTGCCATAAATAATTTTTTATTTTCAATAAACATCGTCGTTATAATTTTTTAAATCAAACTCTGCATGATTAATTGTTACAGATAGAAAACATAAATTTTAAAAGATCGTATCTCAAGAACGAATTGAGATATTATCATGAGATAAAGAGGATTTTAAAGCAAATTTGATGAAGATTTAATGAGCCATAAATAATTTCTTATTTTCCATAAACATGGTTGTTATGATTTTTTAAATCAAACTCTGCATGCTTGATTGTTATAGGTATGAAATATAAATTTTAAAAAGTCGTATCTCAAGAACGAGTTGAGATATCGTCATGAAATAAAGAACATTTTAAAGCAAATTTGATCAAGATTTAATGCACCATAAATAATTTCTTATTTTTCATAACCATGGTTGTTATGATTTTTTAAATCAAACTCTGCATGTTTGAACGTTATAGTTATGAAACATAAATCTTAAAAGATCGTATCTCAAGAACGAATTGTGATATCGTCATGAAACAAAGAAGATTTTAAAGCAAATTTGATGAAGATTTAATGTACCATAAATAATTTCTTGTTATCCATAAACATGGTTGTTATGATTTTTTAAATCAAACTCTACATGTGTGATCGTTATAGATATAAAAATTAAACTTTAAAAAGTCGTATCTCAAGAACGAATTGAGATATTATCATGAAACAAAGAACATTTTAAAGCAAATTTGATAAAGATTTAATGAGCCATAAACAATTTCATCTTTTCCAAAAACATCGTTGTTATGATTTTGTAAATCAAACTCTACATGTTTGATTGTTATAGGTATGAAATATAAATTTTGAAAAGTCGTATCTCAAGAACGAATTGAGATATCGTTATGAGATAAAGAACATTTTAAAGCAAATTTGATGAAGATTTAATGCACTATAAATAATTTCTTAATTTCCATAAACATCGTTGTTATGATGTTTTAAATCCAACTCTGCATTTTTGATTGCTATAGATATGAAATATAAATTTTAAAAGATCGTATCTCAAGAACGAATTGAGATATCGTCATGAAATAAAGAACATTTTAAAGCAAATTTGATGAAGATTTAATGCACCNGTTACGGACATAAAACATAAATTTTAAAAGATCGTATCTCAAGAACGAATTGAGATATTATCATGAGATAAAGAAGATTTTAAAGCAAATTTGATGAAGATTTAATACACAATAAATAATTTGTTATTATCCATAATCATCGTTGTTATCATTGTTTAAACCAAACTCTGCATGTTTGATTGTTATAGGTATGAAATACAAATTTAAAAAATCGTATCTCAAGAACGAATTGAGATATCATCATGAAACAAAGAAGATTTTAAAGCAAATTTGATGAAGATTTAATGCACCATAAATAATTTTTTATTATCCATAATCATCGTTGTTATGATTTTTTAAATCAAACTCTGCATGTTTGATTGTTATAGGTATGAAATATAAATTTTGAAAAGTCGTATCTCAAGAACGAATTGAGATATCGTCATGAAATAAAGAACATTTTAAAGCAAATTTGATGAAGATTTAATTCACCATAAATAATTTCTTATTATCCATAAACAACGTTGTTATGACTTTTTAAATCAAACTCTGCATGTTTGAATGCTATATGTAGATATGAAACATATATTTTAAAGGTCGTATCTCAAGAACGAATAGAGATATCACCACGAAACAGAGAAGATTTTGAAGCAAATTTGATGAAGATTTAATGTACCATAAATAATTTCTTATTATCCATAAACATGGTTGTTATGATTTTTTAAATCAAACTCTGCATGTTTGATTGTTATAGATATAAAAATTAAACTTTAAAAAATCGTATCTCAAGAACGAATTGAGATATTATCATGAAACAAAAAAGATATTAAAGCAAATTTGATCAAGATTTAATGCACCATAAATAATTTCTTATTTTCTATAAACATCGTTGTTATGATGTTTTAAATCCAACTCTGCATTTTTGATTGCTATAGATATGAAATATAAATTTTAAAAGATCGTATCTCAAGAACGAATTGAGATATCGCCATGAAATAAAGAACATTTTAAAGCAAATTTGATGAAGATTTAATGAGCCATAAATAATTTCTTATTTTCCATAAACATCGTTGTTATGATTTTTTAAATCAAACTCTGCATGTTTGAACGTTGCTAGACTGTTATTTCAATAATTTCTGCCCAGTCTGTTTCGTCTCTTTCGAATCTCTCTTCAGTACTTTAGTCTATTACTAGTCGTTTTGCGTTCTTTCTTTTTGCTCAGTATCTTTCTATCCATTACTAATCCCTTTTCAGATTTCTTCTTTTCTGCACACTTTTCCACTCAGCCTTATTCATCTACCTGGTGCCTAACATTTCTCTTATAGTCATTATTTCAAGTATCTTTCTTCTATTTGGAGTTTTTGTCCAGTGACATTCTTTTATTACCAGGCTATTTCCGGTCATTCCCCTTTCTGCACAGACTTTTTTCTCCTCTTTTCAGTCTCTGCTCAAATATTTTTTTTCTGTATTTTTTCCTCTGTTCAGTTCTTCTCTTTTCTGCCTGTATTCAATCTTTTTCTTCAATATCAAGTCCCTACATAGTCTTCCTTTTCTTCACCTAGCGTTTTTCTTGCTTTTGGAGTCTCTTTCTTGCCTCCTTCACCTCTTTTCAATTCCTCTTCGATTAAAAGTGTTCTTTTAGTCTGTGTCTTTGCCTTCCAGTCTCTATTCATTCTCATTAATTTCTATCAAACCTAAGTTTTTTTCGTTCCACTCTCTTTTCATTTTCAATAATCTCTGCCCAGTTTGTTTCATCTCTTTCCAGTATCTATTTAGTCTCTTTTCAATCTTTCGCGTCTCTTCCTAGTTTTTTTCTTGCCTTTACAGCATGTGTACTCTGTATCTTGGCAGGAAGAGATTGTATCTCAAAAAGTAATTGAGATATCATCATAAAATAACAATCGTTTTAAAGCATAATTACAGAAGATTCAATGTGCCATAAATAATTTCTTATTTTCAATAAACATCGTCGTTATAATTTTTTAAATCAAACTCTGCATGATTAATTGTTACGGACATAAAACATAAATTTTAAAAGATCGTATCTCAAGAACGAATTGAGATATTATCATGAGATAAAGAAGATTTTAAAGCAAATTTGATAAAGATTTAATGCACCATAAATAATTTGTTATTATCCATAATCATCGTTGTTATCATTTTTTAAATCAAACTCTGCATGTTTGATTGTTATAGGTATGAAATACAAATTTAAGAAATCGTATCTCAAGAACGAATTGAGATATTATCATGAAACAAAAAAGATTTTAAAGCAAATTTGATCAAGATTTAATGCACCATAATTTCTTATTTTCTATAAACATCGTTGTTATGATGTTTTAAATCCAACTCTGCATTTTTGATTGCTATAGATATGAAATATAAATTTTAAAAGATCGTATCTCAAGAACGAATTGAGATATCGTCATGAAATAAAGAACATTTTAAAGCGAATTTGATGAAGATTTAATGCACCATAAATAATTTCTTATTTTCCATAAACATAGTTGTTATGATTTTTTAAATCAAAGTCTGCATGTTTGATTGTTATAGGTATGAAGTATAAATTTTAAAAAGTCGTATCTCAAGAACGAATTGAGATATCGTCATGAAATAAAGAACATTTTAAAGCAAATTTGATCAAGATTTAATGCACCATAAATAATTTCTTATTTTCCATAAACATGGTTGTTATGATTTTTTAAATCAAACTCTGCATGTTTGATTGTTATAGGTATGAAGTATAAATTTTAAAAAGTCGTATCTCAAGAACGAATTGAGATATCATCATGAAATAAAGAACATTTTAAAGCAAATTTGATGAAGATTTAATGTACCATAAATAATTTCTTATTTTCTATAAACATCGTTGTTATGATGTTTTAAATCCAACTCTGCATTTTTGATTGCTATAGATATGAAATATAAATTTTAAAAGATCGTATCTCAAGAACGAATTGAGATATCGTCATGAAATAAAGAACATTTTAAAGCGAATTTGATGAAGATTTAATGCACCATAAATAATTTCTTATTTTCCATAAACATAGTTGTTATGATTTTTTAAATCAAAGTCTGCATGTTTGATTGTTATAGGTATGAAGTATAAATTTTAAAAAGTCGTATCTCAAGAACGAATTGAGATATCGTCATGAAATAAAGAACATTTTAAAGCAAATTTGATCAAGATTTAATGCACCATAAATAATTTCTTATTTTTCATAAACATGGTTGTTATGATTTTTTAAATCAAACTCTGCATGTTTGATTGTTATAGGTATGAAGTATAAATTTTAAAAAGTCGTATCTCAAGAACGAATTGAGATATCGTCATGAAATAAAGAACATTTTAAAGCAAATTTGATCAAGATTTAATGCACCATAAATAATTTCTTATTTTTCATAAACATGGTTGTTATGATTTTGTAAATCAAACTCTGCATATTTGATTGTTATAGGTATGAAATATAAACTTTGAAAAGTCGTATTTCAAGAATGAATTGAGATATCGTCATGAAACAAAAAAGATTTTAAAGCAAATTTGATAAAGATTTAATGAACCATAAATAATTTCTTATTATCCATAAACATGGTTGTTATGATTTTTTAAATCAAACTCTGCATGTTTGAATGCTATATGTAGATATGAAACATAAATTTTAAAAGATCGTATCTCAAGAACGAATCGAGATATCATCACGAAACAAAAAAGATTTTAAAGCAAATTTGATGAAGATTTAATGTACCATAAATAATTTCTTGTTATCCATAAACATGGTTGTTATGATTTTTTAAATCAAACTCTGCATGTTTGATCGTTGTAGATATAACAATTAAACTTGAAAAAGTCGTATCTCAAGAAAAAATTGAGATATCGTCATGAAACAAAGAAGATTTTAAAGCAAATTTGATGAAGATTTAACGCACCATAAATAATTTCTTATTTTCTATAAACATGGTTTTTATGATGTTTTAAATCAAACTCTGCATGTTTGATTGTTATAGGTATGAAATATAAATTTTGAAAAGTCGTATCTCAAGAACGAATTGAGATATTATTATGAAACAAAGTAGATTTTAAAGCAAATTTGATCAAGATTTAATGCACCATAAATAATTTCTTATTATTCATAAACATGGTTGTTATGATTTTTTAAATCAAACTCTGCATGTTTGATTGGTATAGGTATGAAATATAAATTTTAAAAAGTCGTATCTCAAGAACGAATTGGGATACCACCATGAAAATGCAAATTAACAAAATTTTAAATGATAGTGTAATGTAAGCCAAGATAGATTTGCCTAACTTTTTAAACCTATAACATATTGAATAAAAATAATCCGATTAACCCAAATCAATAAATGAATTTGCTTAATTGTTGTAGATTTTTAAATTCGGTTTCATAACCGGAATTCAATTTAAATTAAACAAACAAATAAATACACCAAATCGGATTCGTTAAATTTATAACAAAAATATATAAAACATTTGTGGTGATTTAGGCCAGAGCAAAATTGCCGAAAAAAAGGAGAAGAGTTCTTCCGGTGGAACCAACGAGAGGACCTCGTTTGCCAGGACAAGGTCCCCAGGGTGGCCAATCCGGTTGTCCCGGTGGAGCACCCGCTTGTGGACCCAATGCCCAAAATAGGAGGATGAATGCGATCAAATCAAATCATCCAAAGGATATGTTAGGAAGTCCAGGACAAAAAATAGGTAAAAATAAGTCTTTATTCTAATTTTTCTAAAAAAAAAAGAACAAAATCAAACAAATATATTCAAATATCTTCGTTTAAGAAGAAAAATGTGTTTCAGTGACCCAAATGGTGGTTTCAGGTAAATTTATTACGTTGTTGTAGAAAATTTTGTTGTAACAATAAAAATACGTATTTTGAAGATAACCAAAGAAAAAAAAAATGATATTAATATTATTTCAAATAAACGAAAACGTAGGGGACACGATTTATTTAGAATTAGCTGCAAATTTAGAAAACCGTGCAGCTTTTAAGCACCAAAAATCAGCGCTTTTAAATTTTATTTTAATGTTGTTTTTACACACAAATTTATATTACAAAAGAAAAACCATTAGCAGCCTAGAAAGAAATTTTGAAGATATTTGAATATAAAGAACCGCTAAAATCGTCAAAGTCATTATTCTTATTCTTTTCGTTATTGAAAAGACGAAGAAATCCGTCCGATGTTAAAGGAAAATTCCAAGAGAAACTCTATCAAGATTATCAGTAAGGAAAACTAATCAATAAATAACGCATTATGTATGTACTACAGGACGTTTCAAAAGTAGCGTATCAAACTAAAATCAATTTTGAAATTATCTTTCGGTTAAGTTAACCAAGAGTTAGAAGTTAAGTTTATATCTATATATATAATCATGATGTCTCGATGGATGCGTTCCATGTAGTATGCAAGAGCAACCTCTGATTATCAAAGGGTTGAGAAATCGATGGGTCATTTAACACATTATGAACTTCTGTTTGATCAATTAACATTTAACACCTCATTTAACGTTACATTTATATTATAAAAAAATATAGGTGTGTAAAATTTCTTCTGCATTTATTAGGGATTGAATTACAAGACATTCCTCAGAGACATAGTTTAGGCCTTGATGCTCCTTATATTTTTGGCATGAATTTCCAAGTCAATTTCCAAGTCATTCCTGACTTATGACGAATATTCCAGAAGAAAATCTTTAATTTTGACATTTCCGCTTCTTCCTTCTAGAACGATTATGGTTAGGTTTAGACTATTTATGGATTATGGTTTTTGAGTTCATTACGAACCATTTTCGTTCATAATGTTTTTCTCTATCAATTTTTATTCTTGACTTATGACGAATATTCCAGAAGAAAATCTTTAATTTTGACATTTCCGCTTCTTCCTTCTAGAACGATTATGGTTAGGTTTAGACTATTTATGGATTATGGTTTTTGAGTTCATTACGAACCATTTTTGTTCATAATGTTTTTCTCTATCAATTTTTATTCTTGACTTATGACGAATATTCCAGAAGAAAATCTTTAATTTTGACATTTCCGCTTCTTCCTTCTAGAACGATTATGGTTAGGTTTAGACTATTTATGGATTATGGTTTTTGAGTTCATTACGAACCATTTTTGTTCATAATGTTTTTCTCTATCAATTTTTATTCTTGACTTATGACGAATATTCCAGAAGAAAATCTTTAATTTTGATATTTCCGCTACTTCCTTCTAGAACGATTATGGTTAGGTTTAGACTATTTATGGATTATGGTTTTTGAGTTCATTACGAACCATTTTTGTTCATAATGTTTTTCTCTATCAATTTTTATTCTTGACTTATGACGAATATTCCAGAAGAAAATCTTTAATTTTGACATTTCCGCTTCTTCCTTCTAGAACGATTATGGTTAGGTTTAGACTATTTATGGATTATGGTTTTTGAGTTCATTACGAACCATTTTCGTTCATAATGTTTTTCTCTATCAATTTTTATTCTTAACTTATGACGAATATTTCAGAAAAAATCTTTAATTTTGCCATTTTGGAGATTACCGCTTCCTCCTTCTAGAATGATTATGGTTAGGTTTAAACTGTTTATGGATTATGGTCTTTGAGTTGATTATGAACCATTTTCGTTCGTAATGTTTTTCTGAATCAATTTTAATTCTTGACTTATGACAAATATTCCAAATAAAAATCTTTAATTTTGACATTTTGGAGATTTTCGCTTCCTCCTTCTAGAATGATTCTGGTTATGTTTAGACTGCTTATGGATTATGGTTTTTGAGTTAATTACGAACCCTTTTCGTTTATAATGTTTTTCTCTATCCATTTTTATTCTTGACTTATGACGAATAGTCCAGAAGAAAATCTTTAATTTTGATATTTCCGGTACTTCCTTCTAGAACGATTATGGTTAGGTTTAGACTACTTATGGATTATGGTTTTTGAGTTCATTACGAACAATTTTTGTTCATAATGTTTTTCTCTATCAATTTTTATTATTGACTTATGACGAATATTCCAGAAGAAAATCTTTAATTTTGACATTTCCGCTTCTTCCTTCTAGAATGATTATGGTTAGGTTTAGACTATTTATGGATTATGGTTTTTGAGTTCATTACGAACCATTTTCGTTCATAATGTTTTTCTCTATCAATTTTTATTCTTGACTTATGACGAATATTCCAGAAGAAAATCTTTAATTTTGACATTTCCGCTTCTTCCTTCTAGAATGATTATGGTTAGGTTTAGACTATTTATGGATTATGGTTTGTGAGTTTATTACGAACCCTTTTCGTTCATAACGTTTTTCTCTACCACTTTTAATTCTTGACTTATGACGAATATTACAAAAGAAAATCTTTAATTTTGACATTTTGGAGATTTCCGCTTCCTCCTTCTAGAATCATTATGGTTAGGTTTGGACTGTTTATGGATTATGATTTTTGAGTTCATTACGAACCAATTTTGTGCATATTGTTTCTCTGTATCAATTTTACTTCTTGACTTATGACGAGTATTCCAAAAGAAAATCTTTAATTTTGACATATTTGACATTTCCGCTTGTTCCTTCTAGAATGATTATGGTTATTTTTAGACAGTTTATGAATTATGGTTTTTGAGTTCATTACGAATCATTCTCATTCATAATGTTTTTTTGTCTCAATTTTAATTCTTGACTTATGACGAATATTCCAGAAAAATATCTTTAATTTTAACATTTTGGAGATTTCCGCTTAGCCCTTCTAGAATGATTATAGTTAGGTTTAGACTGTTTATGAATTATGATTTTTGAGTTCATTACGAAGCATTTTCGTTCATAATGTTTCTCTCTACCAATTTTAATTCTTGACTTATGACGAAAATTCCAAAAGAAAATCTTTAATTTTGACACTTTGCAGATTTTCGCATATTTTTTTGCAAAATGATGAAAGCTAACCTTATATAACTTTATGGATTATGATTTTCTGATTCGTTAGGAACAATTTTCCTGCATAAAATTTTCCTGTATTCTTTTAGCTTTTGAGTAATGATTGATTCTTTAAAATAAAATGTTCATATCAATTTTGACATTTTGATGATTTAGACTTTATTCCTACAAAATGGAGACTCTAAACCTAAACAGCTAATGGATTATGATTTCATAATTCATTAAGAACAACTTTCTTGCATAAAGTTTTCCTGTTTCAGCTTTTGAGTAACGATTAAAAGAAAATTAGCAATTTTTTTTGTTATTTGATTTTGACTTTATGATTTTCTGATTTATAATGAACAATTTTCCTGCATAAAGTTTTCCTCCGCCAGATTTAGTTTTAAATAATGATTTATTTAAAGAATCAAACCTCAAACCAACCCAATCCAAAAATAAGTACACCACAAAGTAACAAAACAAGCTATCCTCAAAGAAAGCTAATCAATACCCAAAGCAACTCAACCCTTAACAAACTAACTCCACAACAAGCTAACTCAATCACAAAACAAATAAATCCTACTTTAAAGCTAATCCAACGAGAAAGTAAGACAACCGAACCCCAAAGGAACTCAACCACAAAATAATCAAACTTCAACACAAAGAATCCTCCAAGTAAATAAGTTCAGTTTTAAAGAAACAACTTCATTTTATTTACACCGATGTGAGTTGAGTTTTTGAAAGCGACGATCTTAATCTTTTACTTTCAAAACGTGTGGAAAACTCTTCATCTATACGACAGCTTTACTGTCGCAACAAAATCGTTATATTTAATATTTATATCATAGATGTTTATTACAAGATATTTGTTAATCAATTCTTAATACTAGTTACTACGCACAATAATACAAAATAAATAAAATCTCGATTTATATGAAATTTAAGTAAACAACTATAAAATAAATGATCTATAAATATGCATGAAAAATGATGTAAAATGTATATTCTACGAAAAAAATCAATATTCACACAATAAATTTATGTCAATATTCATGTAAAGCGTATATTCGTTGGAGATTTTATTTTGTATTGTTTTACATCAAATACGTCGGGTTTTGTATCAAAACTAATAGGATTAATTTAAATAATTTTAAATAATATAATTTAAAATTATTATCATAATTTTTTGAATTGATTGCGATTTTATACTTTTTTTCTTGATCACCTTATTTAAGGACAGCTTAGAAGTTAATACAAAGTATCACAAATCTCTGCAGCAATAAAAGAGAGTGTTTTTGAAGATTTAACCTCAGTTAAAACATTTGGTATCCTATTCCATGTAAAAAATCCTTCTATAGAAAGATGTTGAAAGGATGTAAAAGAAAAAATATATAATGGTTTTCGATACTTCTGATACTTCTAGCTTTAATTGTTAAAAAAGATAGCAAAGATCTCCGCCTTGTTCTTCTTAAAGAAATTAAAATCAGAGTGTCCAACAGCTAAAGAAAAAGCATCACTCGGGAAGCATAAAAGATTGATCCTGAAACTAGATCTAGATTAGATCTACAAGTACCTAATCATCTGCAAGCAGTATCTAGTGTTCTACGAGCAATATCTAGTGTTCTACGAGCAGTATCTAGTTTTCTGCCAGCACTAAGTAATCTTTTGTAAACCGATGAGCAGTATTTAACCTCCTACAAGAAGTACCTAGTCTTCACCAGCAGTATCAAATCTGCAAGCAGAAAGTAGTCGTTTGCAAGAAATAAGTAATCAATTGCAAGAAGGATCTAATCTTCTGACAGCAGTATCTAGCGTAGTTTCTACGAGCAGTATTTTCAGCAGTAAGTAATCTTATTAGTTTGGTCCTCTAATGTGAAATATTGACTATTTCCTTGTAGCCCTCAAAGTTGCTAGATGCAAAGAGCAGATGTGAGCTGTTTGTTGCGGATGCTCAGCTTGTGTTCCTCCACTCTGGCGGGTATTCTTCTGGTGGTCTGTTCCACGTAGTTCTTGTCGCATGAGCCGCAGAGGATGCAATAAATTCCTAGGTTTTCCACTCCTATGGTCTTGTTAGGTTCGTAGGTGGTGAAGATGTCATGTTTTTGTAGAATTCTTCCTATTCAGTCAGTCGTTCCGCTAATGTAGGGTAGTACGACGT